GGGGGGCTGGGGTCGCCTGCCAGGGGAGAGAAGCATCCTGCCAAGGAGCTCTTCTGCAGGTTGCTCTCTTGAGCACCAACTAGTTCTGCAGTCGATGAGAGTGCCGCTAAAAAAAAAAAATCTCTGTGCTCCACCGAATCCCTGCAAATGTTTTTAGGTTGGAGAAGCCGCTGAGGACTCCTCGGGCAAGCAGAGCAAACAAACCAGAAGCCAGCCGTCAAATAGACTTTTGTCCAGCTGTACCTCGAAGGAGGGCTGCTTTTACTGCCCGAAAACAGCCTTCTCTCTCTTTCTTCCCCCCTCCCTTCCCCGCCCGCTCTCTTAATTGGTGCGGAACAGGGACTTGAACTTAAAGCCAAGTGCGAACCAAAGGCAGAGAGCATGTGACAGAGGCATGTGACTTGCCTTGGTTAAGTCCCTCCATGCAAAGGTCATCGCCTTGGTGATGTTGCACTTTGGTGATCGCCCCCTAATAATATCCGCAGAGCTGTTTCCTGCTTGGCTGTAGCATAAAGAGCTGGCCGAGCTGTGCTGGCCCGGGATTCCATGCTGAGGAGGTGGACAGGGCTGGGGGCTGCCCGTGTTGAATAGTGGAAGCTCAAACTGAGGGGCAAGCAAGAGAAGCAGCGCTGCGGTCCTCGGGTCTGTGAGAGACGCATCCAGGCGATTCAGCGCTTGCCTGTTAATGGAAGGATTTTGTGTTAACACAGCAGCCTTTTCTCCCTCAGACCCCGGGGCTCCAGATTATGTGGCAGTTCTCTACCACAACCACCTGTCACCTTCCTCTGGCCTCCCTGCAGTTTGACTGGCTGGCCTCGGAATTAATTTTCAAAGCCTATAAAGCCAGTAGGTTGTATTCTTCCTATATAATTGGAGGATCAAAGCTGCTGTTTCTGTCCATACAGTTTGGTTGGGAACTTTCAGCAGCTTAGAACAATGCAGTAGCTGTTTTTAACGGTGGCACTTGAAATGGAAGGCAGCCTCCTCCTTGTGTCGCTGATCCTCGAAGAAAGCAGAGCTGGATTTTTTAGAACAAGCTGGTTCAAACTGGCCTACAGCTACTCAAATAGCTGTGGCATTTTCTTGCAGATTTGGCTAGGAAAGAGCTCTTAACAGCCATGAACAGCACACTGCCATCTCTGTCCATTTAGAAGAGAAATTGAAATGTCGACTGTTCCGGTGTCTGTATGGGGTTTCTTATCTGTATGGACTAAAATGCCATGCATGCCCAGCTTTTTGGCCGTTTCCTGTACTGAAGATGTGCAACTATAAATGTCAGGTTTGAGTCCTGTAACGCCTTAGAGACAAGATTTTTGGGTCATAAGCTTTGGAGAGTCATATCTGATGATGGAAGAGAGCCAGTTTGGTGTAGTGGTTAAGTGCGCAGACTCTAATCTGGGAGAACCGGGTTTGATTCCCCACTCCTCCACTTGCACCTGGCTGGATGACCTTGGGCAAGCCGTAGTTCTGGTCAGAGCTGTTCTTGGAAAAGATCAGTTTCTGTCAAGAGCTCTCTCAGCCCCACCTCCCTCACAGGGTGTCTGTTGTGGGGAGGGGAACGGAAAGGAGTTTGTAAGCCGCTCTGAGACACCTTTGGGTAGTGAAGGGCGGGGTATAAATCCAATCTCTTC